ACTATTTGCCTGGGCTGGCTTCAAACCTCAATCCTCCTGATCTCTGCCTCCCGAGTAGCTGGGGTTACAGGTGTGAGCCACCAGCCTGTGTTGTGTTCTAGTAGAACTGTTTCCTAAAGAAAACCACTCCTTGATCTTTGCTGTCAGACCTGCGTGTGCTCTGTAACATTAGTCCACTTTCCCTAATTTGTTAACGTGCTGTGAAAGATGGAAGACTTGAGTGTGTGGCATATGTGACACAAAATTGTGAGTCAGTGGAAGTGAAGGAGCAGGCAGTCAGCATTTGAAAATACGTGATGTCCTCAAGGAAGATGTGCCTCAGAATGTCACTTTAAAAAAGCAAAATCATACATGACTTCAGACTTTTGGTACTTGTGTGAAAAATTGTGTACAAATGGAAATGTCTGTGTGCTGATCCTCAACACAATAAAACCTCAATTGTGAAAAAAAAAAAAAAAAGAAATCACTGATCTTGAGAAGAGGTAATCCACGCCCACTTCCTTTTTGACAGTACTGGTTTGAACTCATGGCCTTGCACTTGCCAGACAGGTCAGTCTTCCTTTGAAATAGACACAAATTGAAACAAGCAAGCTGTTTTGTGCTCTCAGTTCCACAAAGATCAAAATACTTGATGTTACACATTGTCATAGGTAAACAAGAACTCCCAGGACATCACACAAACTGGTCTTGACCTTGCTGTACCAACAGTGACTGACGGACAACACCAATGAGACCTTCCTCCTCCCCCAACCTGTTGGCTCTCTTTGTTAATCTCTGTGTGCTCTTTCCCTCCCAGCCATGTTTTGTTATTAGGAGTTATGAAACCTGATGGCTGAGCAGCCTGGACTGCTGATGTTGACAAAACTGCATGTGACATACAGCAACATCCTGCAGCACCCCGTGGCCTGGTGGCATAACAGCCCTGATCTGACCATCCAAGCCCAAGAACTCTCCTGCCTTATGTGTGGGAGGAGTTGATGACGCATAGCCCACTCTCTGGAAGTTGATGACACATAAAGCCAGTTTTCCAGGACTGACCACCCCCATGTCCACAGACCCCAATAAAAGCTCAAGGTCTTGGGACCCCCAGCGCAGCACACCACGCTGTCTTGAGTCTTCCCGCCCTCCCGTCTGGAGAGCGTTTTTGCTTTGCTCTTGCTTTGCGTAGATAAACCCGCTCCTGCTTGTGTCTCCTGTGTTTGTCCTTGAATTGTTTCTCCAGTGAGACTGAGAACTCTTTGGCCCCTGGACTGAGACTGGAATCTGGTGACAGTTTCACAGAATTGCTCACAATTTTCTTGGGAATTGAGCTGAGCAATAAATCCAGGCTACCAGCTTCTTATCGGATGAATGACTGTTACCTACAGAAATGAGCAAAACAGAATTTGCTAACAGCTAAACTGTACATTAGTAAATGTCTTGCTAAACTGATATAAACCCCAAGGGTTTCTTAGCTACTAATTTTTTTTTCCTTTTCTGTAGCTACTAAATTTTGACATTAAAAATATCTGACCTGAGCCAAGGGGCTGTCATCCCAGCACTCAGGAAGCTGAGGCAGGAGGAGCACAGCAAGTTGAGGTCAGCCTAGACTACATACTGAAACCTATCTCAAGAAAAGGTGGTAAAATGGTAGGTAGCATGCTTGCTTAGCAAACAAGGCCCTAGGTTCAATCTCTAGTATTGCCAACAAAAAAACAAACAAAAACACACTGGGGCTAGAGGTGTGGCTCAAAAGCCCTGAGTTCAAACCCAGCCCCACCAAAGCCTATCAACAACAAAATGGATATAACCAAAGCTGATCTATGAATTAAGTATTTGTCACAGAATCTTATGGGGGAGGGAGTGGAGTTTAGTGAGGACAGAGTTGCAGTTGGGGAAAATCAAAATTTTTTGGAGATGATGGTAGTGATGGATGTTGCTTACACAACAACATGAATGTACCTAGTGTCTTTGAACTGTGCACTTGATGTCTAAAATGCTTTAAAATATTACATATATTTTACCATATATTATTCTGCTTACATCTGTAGGCTAAAAAGAATGATTAAGAAAAAATAGATGGGGTGGAGAGGAGAGAAGGTAGCCCAAACAATGTATACACATGTGAGTAAATGTAAAAACGATAAAAAAAATTCACCTATTCCCCACCAAAAAAAAAAAAAAAAGGATTAAGATTATGAATGAGAAAAAAAAAAAAAGAAGGAAAAATATAGGGGTTGGTGGTGGAGTGGCTCAAGTGGTGAGAGCTCCTGTTTGGCAAGCATGAGGCCCTGAGTTCAAACCTAAGTACTGCCAAAAAAAAAAAAAAGCAAAGTACTTCTGCTTAATTATACCACTTTAGTCATCATAGCAACAGAAAAAAACTAAAGCCCAAAATATTGAGGTTTTACTGCATGTTATATACAATGTATACAAACTTTATAATATACATCTTATCAATGTTACATATGTCACCATTGTATATATAAGAACAGTACAATGATTTTTAAAGGGAAAAGGGATCTAAGCAGCTGAATTTTCAGTGAAATAAAAATTTAAATGGAAAAACACTGGAACTTACCTGAGAAAGGGTGGGCAGCCTGGGAATGGAAGAGGGGCCTTGCCATGAGCTCCTCTCCCTGTCCTGGAGCTTGACTCGGGTGTGTTCCCTGAAAACTCCCTCTGTTCTCAGTGCATGTAACACACACACACACACACACACACACACACACACACGTGTGCATACACAAGCTGGGGACCAAGCAGTCCCATGGCTAGGATGGTCTTTCTCGAAAGAGAAAGGCAGAACAGAGATTTAATTTAGGAATCCAGAACAGGTATCACAATGTGCATCATTTGGTACTGGCAGGGTGGGTGTCCTCAGCAGAGGGACGGGATGCCTGAGCAAAGGGGAGAATGTTCTGGTGCAGAGCAGGCCAAGGAGGATGGCTGGGGTCTGGGGGAAGATTGGGGCCAAGTGTCACCACTCTGGCTTGTTACATGGAGTCTTCACTTACATGAGGTAAGTGGAGCCTCATGACCTGGGAGTGGGGGTTTGTTGTGAGTGATCTATGTCAGGAACATAGACATGCTTGTATCAGAATTTATTGGATAACAATAAATTCATGAGCTACGTCATTTTTTGTTGGCAAAAAAGCTCACTAAGCACTACTGAGTTCACTTGAAAGCCATGGGCCATTGGCCAATCTTAATTACCAATATTAACTCTCAAGATCACACATTACAGAGGCTACAGATTTCAGAGGACTGTGCTGGAGGCACAGGCCAGAGCTCACAGGTGCAAGGAAAAGTCTGTGTAGGGGACCATATAAGTTTTATGAACCTCAGGTGCAGAACTGTTCAGGTCCCAGAGTTGTCAAATGCCAGTCTGGATGGCAGGCAATTTTGAGTGTCAGTTTAAAGTATCACAGGCAGGAGAAACTGTGCTGGAGCCTGGGGACAAAGGCAGAGGTCCCTCACTTTGGCAATATTCCTGGATGAGGTTCATGACAAGTGACCTGGTGACACATCAGTGTGCCTGCTATGTCTCAGTCTTGGGGTGCTCCTCCTTTTATACTCCCAGGTGAGGGTTGATCAGCTTGCATGTCTGGTGTTTCTGATATGATTTGATTTATTTACAGATGTAATTGCTTATTGGCACGAATACCTTACTTATCAGCTTGTGGCGTGCTGGCAGGTGGTAGTTGTTCACCTGTATAACCAAGATGTAGAATCATTTTGTTTTGGCACTTAGACTCAAAATGGAGTAGCTTAGGTCAAACTGCTGCTTTATAAAATGGAGTAAGTGAAGGCTGGGCACAGCCTAAGGCTGCTGTTCTATACAACCCAGAGCAACCCAGAGCAGGTTCAGCCCTTTCTCCTTAAGCAGCCTTCAAATATGGTATTTGGGAAGCAAGAGGTCCAAGTGCAAGTCGCTACTTGTGATATTGGCCAGGCAACTTGGGTTAGGACCCCAAGAACACACAACAGATGCTCTATCAAAATGTTCTCATACCTGAACATAACAGCACTTCCCCCAGTCCCTTAAAAAGTCCCCTGTTCAGTTTCCTGGCCCCTCCTATGAGAGTCCTACACTTGCCCCCATCCCAGAGGTTCACAGGTATGGGGCCAGCCTGGGGTAGATATAGCCCAAACCAAGATGCTAGGGCAACCCTGCAACATGACACTGTATGCCCAGTCTGCTCCCTGTGTGTGGCTCCTTAGAAGCCACAGCAGCCACAGGTGGCCTGGTGGGAACAGAGCCTCTGCAAGGGAGTCAGGAGGCAGCATCTGCAGCATGCTACATCAGCAGTTAGACCCAGGGAGCCATAGTTCTGCTCTCCGCATGGCATCCCCGTCTACATGTGTGCCTGCTCCCATGAGCTTGCCTTTTCTACAGTCCAGGCTTGATGGTCTTGAGTCGTCTACTAACATGGCAGTCACTTTCCAGTCCCGCCTCCCTGAGCCGACACTCAGTCTACCTGAGGAATGCAGTAGGCAGTGTCTCCATAGGGTCCTCCCCTGCCAGTCACTGCCTCCATTCGGGGTGGGTTCTTATGTTTCCATACTTAGGAGGCGTTTCAGGAAGCCGATCTCGGCCGGGGGCGCTGCAAACGTAACTAGCTGACATCTTTTCCCCCTCGTGGCTGGGGGCCTCTGGCTGCTGTGCTCCTCCTGCAAACCCCAGCCTGGTGCAGGGAAAGACAACCGGCACCCTGCGGCTGCAGAGAGGGAAGCCCACAGAACAAATGGAGTTTGCAGGCCGAAAGGGCTTAACACACACGTGCCGGACCGCTCCTTGAACCTTCTGCCCCTCTTCGCGCCCAGTCTGAGACTGAGACAGGACAGTAGGACACAGCTCCCAGCATGCCTCACTTCGCTACTCCCAGAAGGCCAAGCGTGTCGGTTCGGGGGTGGGACGTTCCCAGCATACACCGCGCCGCCCACTCCCAGAAGGCTGCGGGCGGGGCTTCGTGGGCGGGGCGTTCCCAGCGTGCCCCGCGGTGCTCCGCTGCCCGCGAGATTTGAATCGCGCTACCTGTGGGCGGCGGCGCCATGGGGGCCCAGTCTTTGCCTCGGGCCTGGCTGCTGTATCTCAAGGACCACCGCATCTCTACGTTCAAAAACTGGCCCTTCTTAGAGGGCTGCGCCTGCACCCCGGAGCGGGTGAGAACGCCCGGACTCGGGCCCTCCAGGCCCGCCCCACTGCGTTCCCGCCAGGCAGCCCCGCCCTGCCCGGGTCCTGCCCTCGCCGGGGGTTGCTGGTCCCATGGTAACGGAGCCTTGGAGTCCGGAACTTCCACCCCCAACTCTCCCGACCCAACTGTCCCTAGGGAGGTTTCAGAATGACCCCTCTCTGGGGCTGCCAGCTCTATCGCGGCGGAGTCCGGCGTCTGGACTGTCACTTCTGCTCACAAGCTGTTTTGTCCTTTGCAGATGGCCGAGGCCGGCTTCATCCACTGTCCCACTGAGAACGAGCCCGACTTGGCTCAGTGTTTCTTTTGCTTCAAGGAGCTGGAAGGCTGGGAACCAGATGACAACCCCATGTAAGTCCCTCCAGACCAGCTTCCATGGGCTTCCCGGGTGCCCTAAATCCATCAGAAAGCTTTTGATTTGAACTGGGCCTGGGAGTAACTATTTGAATGTCTAAGATTCTTAGTGCGGAAGTATGACCTTCATAACCGTATTTTGGCCTTAAACAGGTGTTGGAAACTGTACTTCTCCATATGCTGGTGCCTTGGTGATGCCTGGTACCTAACTATATCTGATTTGACCAAAACGTGCTTCAGGATGAATTTTTTCCTTTGTGGGCGTGTGTGTAGAGTGGGTGTTAAAGAAAGGTTTATCCGTGTAAGGACATAATACATGATTTGCGCCTGTCTGTGTACTCACAGGAATCTGCAAGTGCTTTTACTACCTGAGGTTTTTTTTTTTTTTTTTTTTTTGGTGAACCAGGAGCTTGCTATGTAGCTGAGGCTGACCTTGAACTCAATGTGCTTGCCTTTGCCTCCTAAGTGCTAGGATTACAGGTGCCACCATACCTTGGCAAGACACCTTATTTTTTTCAAATTGTATTCAGATAGACTACCATATCTGTCTTTTGGTAATGTCTTTCCGTGTTCTTTTCTCACTTCTTTTTCCTGTCAGAATGGATTGCTTCCACAACTTTAATTTTTGCCCCTAGGGAATCACCTGAGTTGTTTTTCTTGGTCAGAAGACTGTTGCTGTTTCTCCTTAATCTGGCTATTGTGACCAAGTATTAATTGGGGTGACATGGTAGTTACACCAGTGATCAGTTGGAAATATCAGTATTATTCTCAAGGGATTTCTAAGTGTTATGATATTTTGACATTATACTTACTGTTGCCTGTTCTGTTGTACCTTGTGTGGTTGTGTTTACCTTCTAATCCTGGGCTGGTTACAGGGATATCCTCTATCCAGGGATATTCTTGTTGTAGAGAAGGAGGGTGTGAGGGAGAGGTGTCCCCTGGGAGAGCCTGGTCAATTTGGCCCTTGTTCCGAACCAGTGGATGATGTGAAATGACATTACTTCCAACAGTTCTTTGGGAATCTTAGAGGGATTTGACATTTAAGTCCTCTGGGTTTAGAATCATACAACACTTTCCTATTAACTGTAAAGGGCTACAGATAAAATTCTCTAGCTGCAAGGATGTGGGGGAGAGAGAGCAGGCAGAGAGAGCAGATGGGCCACGTGGGATGCGCCTGGGACCCACTTTGGGCCTGACACCTTGCTCTTGAAGTACAGGTAGGGGTGTCTTGAGGGATGGCCTTGGATGGTGGGAACTGTTGGTCACTAACCGCCAGTGTTTTGTTGACACGCTCCTGTATGGATTTTTCTAGGGAGGAACATAGAAAGCACTCATCTGGGTGTGCATTCCTTTCTGTCAAGAAGCAGTTTGAAGAATTAACCCTCAGTGAATTTTTGAAACTGGACAAAGAAAGAGCGAAAAACAAAATTGTATGTATCATTGGGAGCAAGAGCTGAGAGCAAACCTTGTTCAGCGTCTGTAGGACTAAACCACCTGGTCCCTCAGGAATGCTAGAGGGATATTTATGCCTCAGGATACACTCTCAAAGCCCAGAGGGGCGCAGGGAGGCAAACGACAGAGAAGCAGCTGTCCTGGAGTGTGGTCTCGGGGTTGTGCAGTCACAAGACTGTTTCTTCCAGAACAGTATGTTTAATGTGTGCTCCTGGGTTGGTGGGGAAGCAGTGATGGTTAGGATCAGCTTCCTGCCTCAGTGACAGTCACTGTGGAAAGTCCTTAACATTTCCGTGTGGTCATGTGTAGCAATGGTATGGACAGAGGATTTGGGGATAGGTAGAAGAGTGTGTCCTAGAAGGGGAAGGAAGAGATCAAGGTCCAGTCAGAACTGAAGGGATTTCTACAGCTGAGCTTTTACCCCTTGTCCAACCATACAGGGTTAGTGGGAGAGCTGACAGTGATGCTGAGAGTCCACAAAGAGGGGCCTTCTGAGTAGCCCAGGTGTGGAGCACTAAGCTTGTTAGAGAAGATCAGGACTTACAGTTAAATCTTATTTTCGGGTGAACAAGGAATAATTTTTGAGTATAACTATGTCCCACATTTTGTATGGGTATTTACTAAAAATTGCTCATTTATCTCAGGTTCAGATTTAACCAGGCAGCCTATATTATTATGTGCTAAATTTGACAGCCCTATAGGATTTAATTTTTTTTTTTCTGGTGGATTTAATATTCTTACAGCAAAGCACTGGGTGGGGCTCAGGGAATTGTCCCTGCTGTCTCTGCTGCTTGAGGACTTTGAGTTTAAGCCAGCCCTGGTCCCACTCTCCTTGCTGCAAGATAAAGGGATTCCCTCCCCTCCCATCATGGTTACTGAGGTCCCCCTTCAGCTTAAAAAAGGGCAGGGCTCAAATGGTAGAGCGTTTGCCTAGCAAGCTGAAGGTCCTGAGTTCTACCTGAGTATAATAAATATATAGATAGATAGTATTCCTTAGTACAGACCAATATAAAATAATTATATCCATCTGGGTACTGGTGGCTCATCCCTATAATCCTAGCTACTCAGGAGGCAGAGATCAGGAGGATCACAATTAGAAGCCAGCCCAGGCAAATAGTTTGCAAGACCCTATCTTGAAAAAAACCCATGGCAAATAAAAAAGGGCTGGTAGAGTGGCTCAAAGTGTAGGCCCTGAGTTCATACCTCAGAACTGTAAAAAAATAATAAGTAAACAAAATAAAACAATTATGTATATAGTTTTGTTTTGTTTTGTTTTATGGTACTGGGATCGAACTCAGGGCTTCATGCATGCTAGGCAAACACTCAACCACTAAGCCCCATCCCCAGCCCCAGTATAGTAGCTTTTAAATGCTAAGGATGGGAATTGGTTACTGTCAGGAGGAGGGAAGACATAAACAGTTGCTATGGTGTGTTGTGGGAGATTACGCCGAACCACACTGACTGGACTGGAAGTGAGCTAGGGAGGACCTTCCTGGTCAGGAGCCAGCAACCTTTCCACAAAGCAGGCCCATAGTCATGTCACATGTTCTTCATGGTTGTGGGCTTTTTTTTTTTTTTTTTTTAAGGTAATTGGGGTTTGAATTCAGTACCTTGTACTTGCTAGGCAGTGCTGTATCACTTCAGCCATGCCCCTGGTCTGGGTTTGTTTGTTTGTTTCTAGTTCTGGGACTTGAACTCAGGACCTACACCATGAGCCACTCCACCAACCCTTTTTTATGTTGAGTATTTTTTTTTTTTTTTCATTTTTCTAACAGGTTACTTTGCTTGTTTTATTTTTTATTTTTTATTTTTTTTCATTTTTCTTTTATTATTCATATGTGCATACAAGGCTTGGTTTATTTCTCCCCCCTGCCCCCACCCCCTCCCTTACCACCCATTCCACCCCCTCCCGCTCCCCCCCTCAATACCCAGCAGAAACTATTTTGCCCTTATCTCTAATTTTGTTGTAGAGAGAGTATAAGCAATAATAGGAAGGAACAAGGGGTTTTGCTGGTTGAGATAAAGATAGCTATACAGGGCATTGACTCACATTGATTTCCTGTGCGTGGGTGTTACCTTCTAGGTTAATTCTTTTTGATCTAACCTTTTCTCTAGTACCTGGTCCCCTTTTCCTATTGGCCTCAGTTGCTTTAAGGTATCTGCTTTAGTTTCTCTGCATTAAGGACAACAAATGCTAGCTAGTTTTTTAGGTGTCTTACCTATCCTCACCCCTCCCTTGTGTGCTCTCGCTTTTATCATGTGCTCATAGTCCAATCCCCTTGTTGTGTTTGCCCTTGATCTAATGTCCACATATGAGGGAGAACATACGATTTTTGGTTTTTTGAGCCAGGCTAACCTCACTCAGAATGATGTTCTCCAATTCCATCCATTTACCAGCGAATGATAACATTTCGTTCTTCTTCATGGCTGCATAAAATTCCATTGTGTATAGATACCACATTTTCTTAATCCATTCGTCAGTGGTGGGGCATCTTGGCTGTTTCCATAACTTGGCTATTGTGAATAGTGCCGCAATAAACATGGATGTGCAGGTGCCTCTGGAGTAACAGTCTTTTGGGTATATCCCCAAGAGTGGTATTGCTGGATCAAATGGTAGATCGATGTCCAGCTTTTTAAGTAGCCTCCAAATTTTTTTCCAGAGTGATTGTTTATGTTGAGTATTTTTGAGACTGGGTCTCACGAACTATTTGCCCAGGCTGGCTTCAAACCATGAGCTTCCTGATCTCTGTCTCTTGAGTAGTTAGGATTACAGGAATGAGCCACCACACCCGATTTTGGTTTTTGTCTTTTCACAGCCATTTAAAAACCATTCTTAGTCCATGGCTCTGCACAATAGGCTGCTGGCTGGCCTGCAGGCCAGGAGAGCTGGCTGACGTGGCGAAAAGGGCAGCTGTGTGCAGGGGACCGTCGGGAAGGAGCTGGGGAGGACACAGGCCCTCAGGTTGTTACAGCTGGAAATAGGAAGACCCAAGTTCTGACATGGTCCAGCCCCAAAATACCAACTGAGCATTTATGGACACTGAGCCCCATGTTCCGCTCCAGTAGACCAGGATGAAGAAGATGTGGTCTGAGGGAGGAAGCTAAGCTGTCCATTAGGAGAAGGGATTAGGAAGACTGGATGGGTGGCAGCTTTCAGGATGTGTGAGGTAGGGAGCTGGAGGTGTGGGCACAATCCCTAGGGAGAGCCACTTAGTCTGTGTCCCTGGTGCATGGCAGACTGGCTAGAACCAGATTGGAAAGAGGTATGTATATCTCACCCCAGGGAGAAAATGTGGAAAGATTTGAAGAAATTGTTTGGCTTTTATTTTGAATCTCTTTTTGCTCTTTGCAAATCAGAATGCAGAGTATTACCTTCTATTCCCCTGTGGTACTGGAGTTTGAACTCAGGGCTTCACTCTTGCTAGGCAGGTGCTCTTCAGCTTGAGCCACACCCTCAGCCTATTATTTTGTTTAGTTGTGAAACAACATATGCTTCTATAAAAAGAAATCTAAAGCTCTACGCTGTCCTAGTTTGTTTTTAAATACATATGTTTTAAAAGTAAAATATTTAAACTGTCCATACATTCCTTAGTTGACTTATAAAAACCTGTATAATAGAAAATCTCTGTAAGCCAGCAGTGCTCGGCTATATTGCTGTGATTCTCCAGAGCTGTGCGGTCTGGTATTCTACCCATTATGACTACTAAAATTAAATAAGTTGAAAATGTCAACTCACTAGTCACATTTCAAGTGCTCAATAGCTACATGTGCCCAGTGGCCACTATGTCAGACAGTGTAGACAGTAGAACATTTTTATCACTGTAGAAAGTTCTACTGAACTGGGCTGCTGTAGGGTATCAAACAGCTGGGTGCTCGTGGCTCACTCCTATAATCCCAGCTACTCAGGAGGCAGAGAAGCCAGCCCCCAGCAAATAGTTCACGAGACTCTGTCTTGAAAAACCCATCACAAGAAAAAGGGCTGGTGGAGAGGCTCAAGTGGTAAAAGCACCTACCTACCAAGCGTGAAGCTCTGAGTTCAAACCCCAGTGCTGCCAAAAAAAATTTTTTTTAAATAGTGTCAATGGGCTGGTGGAGTGGCTCAAGTGGTAGAGTGCATAGCAAATGTGAGTCCCTGAGCTCAAACTCCTGTACCACCAAAAAAATAAAATAAAGTGTCAAATAATTTAAACTAACATGAGCCCGCTGTGTCCATGCACTTCCCTGTATGAGGTCTGGCTCGGGGGCTCAGGACAGGTATACATGGTGATTTCAAGCAGTACCAGCTGTCTGCCTCTCCAGGCCTAGCATGTGAGCGAAGAAGCTTGGGAGCAGTTGTCTTAAACTTCTTACTAAGCCTATGTGTGATCGCAGGTCATGGTTTAAGACAGGCATTCTTTAAAAAAAAACAAAACAAAACAAAACCACAACATAGAGGCTGAGGTGTAGCTCAGTGGTAGGGTCTGGGTTTGATCCATAGTCCTGAAGAAAACAAACAAAAAGAACCAGGTAAAATACTCTCTGTGCTATAAAATACCGGAGACGAGAGATACCGTGGGTCCTAATGCTCTGAGTTTCCAAAATCCCAGGTTCCAGAGGAGGTGCTGTGGAGGCAGAGCCAAGCCTACCCAATGCTCTGTTTCTGGTTCCTACTTATACATAGGCCTGTCAGTTTTTTGTTTTTTGACCTGCCAGTTTTTGAGGCAATGAGACAAATTAGAGCTAATTTGAAAATACATCAGTTTAGGTAATAAACTACGTGAGAATAAACAGAAACTTACTTCTTAAGACTTTAGTTTGTAAAAACCTACGATGAGAGCAAAATAAAATACTAGAGGAGGGAGCATCAAGTCATAGCCATGGGTGGCAGAGAGATTGTTTGGCCTTTTTTCTTTCTTTTTTTTTTTGGGGCGGGGGGAAGGAGATGCAGTACTGGGGGTTGAACTCAGAGCCTTGTGCTTGCTAGTCGCTAAGCAAGGCAAAAAGAAGAAGTTTTATTTCTGCAGAAGAGTGCAGCCACAGACCATAGTCTGATAGGCAGAACACACCTGGGTGGGTAGTCCATGTGTTGTGGAAATATTGTCAGATGAGAAACCAAGCGACATTCAGGGAAGTAGGAGAACTCGGATTTTTACTTTATTTTATTTTACGCTGGGGGTCCAAGATGAGCTAGTACTCAAAATTCTGGGCCTCCAGCAGTGAAGTCACTGGATTCTTAAAGGGCTGTGTAGGGGATAAGGTTACAGGGAGGGAATGTGCTGGTTGCTAATAGGTGGGCTCACACTGGGGTTAGGGACCTGGGTTATTTAGGTAGGAGTAGCAAGGGGGCCTGGGAAAGTCTGCTTACAGAGGGAGACAAAGAAAGGTGGGAATGGGCAGCAAGGGATCTATAGCGGAAAGTGTTTGCAGAAGAAGACAAAGGAAAGGTGGGAATGGGCGGTTATCTCTACATAGGGCCTCTTATCTTGGCCCTGCACTCATTTTATGGCTTAACTGGCAATTTCTCGTGTCTCATAATCTGCTTTGAGGCAATTTCCTGTTCACACACAGGTTATATTCCTGATTGAATTCCATGCCCCCATGAGGATTGGTCCTGCTTGGGCTCCCAACACTCCGTGGCTAGCTAGTATTTGGCATAAGGGCAAAGTTTTCCCATGCAGTGACATTTTGCAGTTTAATGAGACAGTGATTGCTCATGGTTTACAGCTCAGTGAGGAGTGATTTCACAAGGTCCCTGCACAGGGGATGGGGGCTGGCATTTACCCAAGGTTTTAGGAATATGAAGCTCAAAACAAAAGATGATAGTGATTTGATTAGGCTGTAGAAAAGACAGAGCAAGCAGTTTGAGATCAGGGCATCTGGCAATAAACAGCGCTTTGTTTGACTGCAAGAACCTTGCAAGGCCAAGCAATGTTTCACAAAGCATGTAGGCAGCAATTGGGGAGGGAGGCTGGCATCTTCACAATGAGAGATTTACATTAACTCCTTTGACAGAAAAGACCTGACTAGTTGATTCTCACATTGGCCATGATTATCTTTGCCTATCTGTAAAGGCAAGCCTCTGAGGGGCTGCAGAGTTTCCCTTTACCAGGAGGACCAACTACTGTTTGTCAGTAGTCACTTATTTTTTAAATTAACCTTCCTCCCCTCCCCTCCCTAGGGCCTTTCACATGCCAGACCAAACACTCTACCATTTGAGACATAGCCCCAGCCCTCAATTAATTTTAAACTAGGTAAGATTTATACATAATACATAGTGAAAAGTAAGTTTTTGGTTGAGGGATGTGACTCGTGGTAGAGTGCTTGCCTAGCATGAGGGAGGCCCTGGGTTCAATCACTAGCACTGGGGGATAAAAAGAAAAGTAACTTTTTAAAACTAATCCTTGCTACTTGGGAGGCTGAGATCAGAAGGATCGAGGATCAAGGCTAACTCAGGCAAATAGTTTGTGAGACCCCCATCTCCAAAATAAACAGAGTAAAATGGACTGGAGGTGTGGCTCAAGCAGTAGAGCACCTGCTTTGCAAACGTGAAGCTGTGAGTTCAAACCCCAGTCCTGCAAAAAAAAAAAAAAAATTAGCCTCTAGTCACTTAATAGAAAACAAATTTAATCCAATAAAAGGTAAGTTTGTTACTTGTTTTTTTAAGATAGCAGAGAAATTAAAGAGGATGAAAAACAGGAGTGGGGGAGTTCTGGATTTGCCGATGTGACTGTGATTTGCTTTTGTGAAGAGAGCAGTTTTAGCAGAATGAACAGATTGGAAGCCAGATGAAGGTAGGGCTGGAAGTGAAGTGCATTGTGTCTGGGGTAGAAGATGGAACGGTAGGGTACACACAAAGCATTCTGTGGTGCTTCCTGTCACTAAATAGCAAGTAGCCTCAGTTAGAGGTGGAGTTGAATCCCAGTGTGTGCCTCCTCGTACAGTGCCCTGTGTTTATTGTGCTCAGCAAGTGTTCCCACCTCCTGATCTTACCTGCAGGGTACAACTTGGAAGTGCTTATCTCAAGTGAGTATGTGTGTTTTGTTTGGCAGTGCTGGGGAAGGGCCTTGAACATACTAGGCCAGGGCCTTACCGCTGGGCCACACCCCAGCCCGAATGTGTCTCTTCATAATTTCCAGGCAAAGGAAACCAACAGCAAGCAGAAAGAATTTGAAGAAACTGCAAAGCATGTCCGCTACAACATTGAGCAGCTGGCTGCCTTAGAGTGAGCCCTTGTCGTGGTCACCTGATCCCGAGTGACAGGCAGCGTCCAAGGCATGTTCCCCAGTATTCCCAGCTTTTCTGTGGCACCTTTAACAGTACTGTCGGGAGGGAAAATGGCAACATTTTGAAACTGGATATTTCATCTTCTTTTTGATTTTGCTTGAAAGTGGCACCAGCTGTGCCCCTTTTTTCCACCTGTGCAGCTGGTGCTGCTGGTCACAGTGGCCGCTTGTCTCTTTTCTCTGTAGCTTTGCTCTGTTGAGTCCTGGACTTAGCAGGTGAGGAGTGGGTGAGGAAGAGACCTGGGTCCCTGTGGCTGAACTGATGAGGATGGGGGCAGGGGTGGGGGCGGGAAACAGTGTAAGTGCCTGCATAGGAGTTTCTGGTCTTAGTGTTTTCAATGCTCTGTAAACCCTGGTGGTGAGTAGGCCGCTGGTAATTCACCTGACTTTCTAATGTGGATCTTCCTGACAGAGGGTGATGAAATAAATCAATTTAAAAAAGTGAACTGAAACCCTTTCTCTTTGAGAAAATGAGTTTTGTTTACTAAATAAATAACTTGTCTATGTTGTTTACAAGGTCATAAATTCAGTGACTCAAGTTTCTTCCCCAACGTGGACTAAGCAGGATTGAAACAGTAGTGGAGAGGCTGCCTGGGCCCTTACAGCCTTGGCTCCATGTCCTGTTTCTCCATCGTGATGCTTGCCAGGCGCCCTGCTGCACTTTCCTCACTTGTCACTCTGCTGCCTCTCCTGCTTTTTCTTTCTTTCTTTGCTAGATGCATGAGTTTTGTGTGATGGGGGTGGGCATGGGGGGCTTGAGACAAAAACTCCATCTCTTCCCAATATTTTATGGTGTTGTCTTCTTGTTTTGTTTGAAATAATTGTTTCACAGAACAGTGCAAAGTACAATTAAAAGTAAGCACAAAGCCATACTAAGCCAATGGGTAGACCAGGGGAACCTCTTCATGTGGCACCTGGAGACTCAGTTAGGTAGCAGGAGTAATGTCCAAAGGTGCTCATTCTGAAAGATCTGCTGCCCTGGGGTCTCGCTGCCAGGGAAAAGGGCAGTGAGTGGCTTGAAGCCTTTTTAAATCACTGCCTTGGTGCTGGGGTCTTGCTGGGCTGTTACAGCACTAATGCCTGGTATTAGGCTGGTGGATTTGCTTTCACTGCCCTTCATGAGGCTGGGCTGCAGCCTGCTGGAAACCTCTGGCGGTCACCAGGTCATCATTTCTAATACTGCTAAAGGCCCTATTGGGTTTTTCAAATGGTTTGGGGTTTTTGTGGTGCTTTCTCTTTACCCTACCAACCCAGCCTTCCCGCCCCACCAGCAGTTGGTGAGGGATGAGAATGCTGGCAGAGAAACAGCCAACCCTGAGCTCCCTCAAGAACTGCTTGAATCCCAGGCCCATTGCCATCAACGGTTCTCATTCCAAGTGTGACCTGCTGTGCACAGTGCACCTCACACTGACTTATTTCTGCCCCATCTCAATCAATGACATGTTTTTCCCTGTAAACTTCGAATATTGCAGAGGCTTTTTTCAGGAGAAAAAGCACTCCCATCTCCACGCTTACCTGAACTGCCTATTTTCAATACTTGTGCCTGTCTGTAAAAGGACAACTGGTCCCTAGGAATGGCTTTGTGGAGCAGCTGGGGAGAACCATGTTCTGTTCTGTTCCTTTGTTTATGGCAGAGATGCAGACTTCTGCTTCTGTTAGTCCTGGCAAGTTGCAGCTGGCCCTGCCAACCATCTTACCACCACACTCCATCTTCTAGATACTTCTAAAGAGCATTCATCACCACACCTTGACCACAATGTCGAAAGCTTAATCGACATCTGTTAATAAAGCCTCCAGCTAGGCACAATGGTGCCGAGGCAGGGGGATTACGAATTCCAGGCCAGCCCGGGGTACATAGGGAGACTCTGTCTCAAAAAATAATAAAAAAAAAGTAAAGCCTCAGACCCTTATCTGGGGTGGCTACCTCAACTTCCATATCTATCCCCCTCTCAGGGTCAAAGGCTGGGGCCTGGGGATGTGTACATGGGAGACTGGGCTGGGGAGGCTGACTCCCACGCTGCCAGATTGTGTTGACAGCCAATCATAGAGCCTTGAGCCAGCCTGGGGTTGGAGGCTACAGGGTGTTGTGAGAAGTACAGTACCAGTCCTGCTGAGAGACCCACACGTCAAGTATAGAGCCATGAGCTGCCACTGTCCTGCAATGGACATCCCATGGGCTGTTGCCCTCTGCAGATTGTACTCACTTGAAAAGAGAAGTGGGCTGGGGTGTGGCTCAGTGGTTCAGACAGTGCTTCCCTAGCATGAGTGAGGCCCTGGGGTCCATCTCCAGCACTGAACAAAAAAATAAAGTTCAGGATTCTGCATCTCGTAAGCATTAGGGTGGAAATTTGGACCCAGACAATCTGGCCCCAGACTGGCAGAGAATTAGCCCAGGCACAGGGGTGTGGCTGCGGTTAAATGCCTGACTTCAGGGAAAGAAGGCCAGCTAAAGCATCCCACTCCATTTTCAGATGGCTTCACTTGTCACAAGTGGAATCCTGTCTCCCAAGGCTTCCACTGGTCCTCACAGCACACTGCTTTACTTTGAAGTAAAGATCCACAAGATGTACAAAATCATAGTGGGATCATGGTACCCTTCTCTGCTCCTCTTCAGTGGAATGACAGGTCATCTCAGAAGAGGATGAGTGGGGCACCAGCCTGTTCCATGCCAGTCTTGTCCAGACAGGACTTCCTGTCTCGAGCCAGCCATTTTGCAGGTTTTCTGTCCATTGGGTTCAGCCTACAGGATTTGTGGATCTTCAGCTGGATGGAGCCAAACAGGCCTTGGCCTCCAAGGTTGTTTCCCTGATCCTTAAAGTGGTAATATCCCTTCATTTGCTCGGATATTTGAGTGCCCACTGAATGCCAGGTGGTGTACTCAGGTGTTGAAGTCTAGAGAGAGCTGTCTGTTTTCTCTGCTTTCGAAGCAGTGGGAAGATAAAGGTCACCATTAACCCTGAATGGAGTGGTGTGTGCAGGATCACAGAGTTGAGGTCGATTAACTGCCTCTGGTGACAACAGGGGCAGGCATTCCTGAAGAGTCTGTCGTCCAAGCCAAGTCGGAGGCTGCTAGATGGATGGGGCAGAGACAGATGCATGGAAGAGTGGGGTGTGCATTCTGGGCACTACAGGTGTGCTCTGGTTGTGTGAGAGAGGGGCATGCCTGCTCCCACATCATCAAAGCCCTGGCAGGCTCCTAGGACGGGCACTGGGGAGGGTCAGGGAGCCATGTCGAGTCTCATAGCCTTGGAGTTGGTCTTGGGGATGAAGCCACCTGGCTATTTGACTATTTCCCAATCATGGTCACATCTCAACGAATACTAGCTGTTCATATAGAATGAAAAGTTGTGTCTTTCCAATCTGTGACCTCCACCTTTTGAGACTTTAGAATGTTCAGCTTTGACTAGAATAGTGCCTTGAGTCTGCCGGAATAAGCTAGACTCATAACGCACTGAGTGGATGGATAGACCTGTGGGGTAGGATAATTTAATGAGGTTTATTTTATGCCACATGCAGGGAAATTAGTTGTCGAGTAGCTGATGCCAAGTTGCTCTGAGAGTAATTTAGCTGAGTTTCAACTGCTTCATTGTTCCTAGCTGGAGGTAATAGCCTGTGTCAGGAAGCTTGTCTGCCACATCACTGGGGCCAGCCATCTTGTTCTCCAGCCACTGGCATAAAGTAGTTGAGTGTGGGTTTAAAAGGACAGAGCCTTGTTCTTGTCAATTAAGATGGAGTGCCCCTATGAAGCCCACTCCTGCCCCTGTTTTCAGCACTAGTGGTCTGACACTAATGCTGAAGAACCCCTGAGAGTGGGAAACCGGCTTGGTGTCTGCCCAGGATGGGTTTCATCTTGATGAAGGGATGATGAATAATGAAAAATAGTGGGTCATTCTTAAAGCAGAACCTCTTCAGGCTGGATGGGGTGTAATTTAGGTCCATGTCAAAGGAAGTACACTGGTGGAATTCATCAAAGCAGCCCTCAAGACCCGGAACCTGCTGCCTAGGGAACAAGCTAATCAGTGGCTCCAGCTGTACATGTGGATTTGAACACAAAGCCCAGACTTGAAAGCAGAGTGGTGTGGACTGCTAATCTGTCTCCCAGCCCCACAGCATGAGGGAAATAGCTCCTTTCCTCTGCAGAGATCCGTGGCTTGGCTGTTTTCTTGCTGAAACCTCCCTCAAGGTAGCAGTGGCTTCCTCAGACGTGCCTGTCGCCAACCCAGGCAACCGCATCCCAATCTCCTTGAGCTGTAGTGGGAGCAAGAACAGAGGCTGATCCTTTCAACCCAGGTTAGCTTCACAGCGGGGGGCTCCCTGGGAGGAAGCATGAAGAGTCATTGTGCAATTCCTGTAGTTCCCCATGAACGTAGTCAATTCACATGGTACACACACCAAAGGAGGCTTCAACCCGAATGAAGCAATAGTGATTCCTTTTTTGGCAGTACTGGGGATTGAACTCAGGGCTTCGAGCTCTCTACCACTTGAGCTATGCCCCAGTCCACAGTATTGACTCTTGCTATATTTCTTCACTGTGGGGTAACTGCTAGGGTGACCTCAAGTTTTCATTATTATTCTCCCAGCTAATTGGAGTGGGGCTGGACAGAGTCCCCTGCAGCAGGAGAGGCTGCCCCTCTCCTCCCCTCTCTCCTGCCTTTGCCCTGCTGCAGTTCTCAGCACATGTTGAATTCTTTCACTTTCCAGGTCTAATGAGCTGCTGGCTGCCAAACTACCACAGGCTCCCAGCATGGCCCAGGCAGGGCAGCACCAGCTGTTGCAGCTGAGTGCAAAGTGTGGGATGATGAACAGCTTACCAGATACCCAAACAATGCTATGATGCTGTCTGAATTCCACTTGAAATACTGTTGCAATAACTTTGCTGGAATTGCTTTTACTTCCTAACTCTATTCCTCAAACTAGCAAGAGTCTAGCAGAGAAAATGCCCAAACACTGAGATGAGAGCCTGTTTTGGCCATAAGTCATGACATTTTCATGCATTCAAGAAGAGCTGCTATCAGTGAGGATGTCCACCTTACATCTCTGACTTCTTGTAGGCTCTGTCCAGCCCAGGGGCAGTGACCCAGAAGAGGCCTTCTCACCCTCTGAGTTTTAACCCAGCACATTTTGTTCTTGGTGGCCCTGGAGTTGGAACTTAGGGCTTCACACTTGCTAGGCAAGCACTCTTAATGCTTGAGCCACTTCCCCAGCCCTTTTTTGTGATTGGGTTTTTTCAAGATAGGGTCTTGCAAACTATTTGCCTGGGGCTGGCTTCGAACCTTGATCCTCCTGATCTCTGCCTCCTGAGTACCTAGGATTACAGGCGTGAAGCCATTGGTGCCTGGCTTAACCCAGCACATCTGACTATAGCTGCTGGGCCTGGATTCCTCATGAAGGGCCTGATTGCGCAAGGGAACCTCTTTGTGATTCCTCTGTCTTCCATACCCATTAGCGTGTGACACCTGTCCCAGCAGGTTCTTTATGCCTGCTTGGTAAGCAAGTGACCTAAGTGGAAACTGGCTTCCCACATGTGGCATTTGTAATTATGAACTAATACAAAGCAATGCTTTCCTTCTACAGCCCCACCCCAGCCCCACTCCACTCATCCCATTTGGTTGGTGCACAGTACAGGGCTGGGTGTAGAACTCAGAAGTACAGTGCTTGTCTAGCATGCATGAGGCCCTGGATTTGATCCCTAGCACCACACACATACAAAAAAAAAAAAAAAAGACTAGGACCCCAGAGCAAGCCCCTACATGTCTCCAGTTGGGGCTGTCTGCCTCCCACTCTGCTTCCAGGAGCTCTGGGTAGGAGGTCCAGCCACCTGCTGCTGCCCATCCTCCTGCAGCCAGTGTCAGGCAGACCCCTCAAGCATTGCACAGCTGGACCAAGCAGGTACATGCCAGATCTGTTGAAGAACCTGACTGAGGTTTACAGAGATTAAAAAGCATGTCCAGAGACCTGCGGCACTGAATCCAGCTCTGAGGCGCTGTGACTTCCTCCTTTTCCCTGAGCTCAAAGAGGTGGCATTGATTTCCCCTGCAAGCCTGAGCGCACCGCGTGGCCAGCCACGAGAAAAAGAAGAGCTTGGGGCAGTGCCCCTCCTGCATTCTTGCCCGCCTCCCACATCCACCCGGTTTTGCAGAGGCCTCTCCTCCCCAATCCCTGCTCCCCCACTGCCCGGAGCCCCTCCCTGCTCTCTCTTCTCACTTCTCTGACCCCTTTGCCTCCCTTCCCACCACCCCTGCACTCTCCAAGCCCCTGACTGCCCCTTACCTCCCAGCTCCCCGCCCCCTTTATTTCCTGTGGCGCTTCTCCACCTCTGCTCGGCGCGCCCCAACACCAGCTCTCAAGACCCCCGGTCCCCCACCCCCGGCTTCCGCCCCACTCCCGTCCCTGTCCCCAGGGCTCTTCCCGCCCGCCCGCGGCATGGCCCGGCTGGGAGCGCTGCTCCTGACCGCCGCCCTGGGCGCGCTGCTCAGCTTCGCGCTGCTGGCCGCCGCGGTCGCCAGCGATTACTGGTACATCCTGGAGGTGGCGGACGACGGCGACCGGCTGTACTCGCACTCCGGACTCTGGCGCACCTGCGAAGGTGAGCGAACCCCGCGCCCCCTCCACTCCGACGCCCCTTCCCAGTCGCCTCCTCCCAGAGTCCCTGCCTGCATCTTGGGGTGGGGGCAGGGGAGACGCTCAGCTCTGTCCTTCACTCTCTCCATCCCCAAACTGTTGGGGTGACAGCTGGGCTATGTAGGGGCTGGAGGAGGACGGGGTTCTGCTCAGGGCCGGGGGCAGAGGGGCCAGGGGTGGAAGTGGAAGAGGGACCAGCACTGTGTGGTTCATAAAGCCCTCCAGAACCCTCCTCTTGTGTAGAATTGGGGAGCTATAGTAAGTGGGAGATGGCAAGTCACGGGGCGGGGGGGGGGGGGGCTCTCAAATGTCCTTGCCACTCTCCATTGGGTAACTTGGGACCTTGTCCCTTGACAGTCTCTAGACCTGGCACGTCAGAAAAGGGGAGACTGCCTCCCTAAAGACTGTGAGTCCCAGAGACTGCTGGAAGGCATAGTGGGGCGGCCCCAGGGTGCAGTCAGTGTTGTTGCTGCTCTGCAGGGGCTGCTGCCAGGTGCCAGGGAGAACCCCCTTCCTGGAGGAGAGGCTGTGGGCTGGTGAGAGCCAGAGTGGGGCAGGAAACCCAGGTGGGGATGGGGGGCTGGAGACTTCTGGGAAGCACCTGCCTCTCAGGAATTGTTTTTCTTATTACCTCCCCTCCCCTGCTGCCTCTCACAGCCCTGGGGCAGCCTGGGGCTTCCCCTGTCCTGTGTGAGTGTGTGTGAACACTGGTCGGTGTGAGTGTGTGTGACTATGAATGTTTGACTGTGACCGTGAGCTTGTGTGGGTGCATGCTAGTGTGAGTGTGGGGGGATACGAATGTGTATGAAATGAATACCAGAGTGTAGAAGTAAGCATGCGTGATTGTGTGTGAGTGTGTGTATGGCTGTGAACGAGCACGTGTATATCTCCTGGGCATGAGTGTGTGTGTGATAGCGGCTTGCTCTGTGTGCTGGGGAGGAAGGACTGAGACATTTGGTCATCCACCTCCTGACGGGGTCTGTACATCTGCATGCACACGTGAGCATACGTTGGTGTGCACGTGTGTAAGTCCAAGAGCCCATGTGAGTCATGAAGCAAGCCCCTTTGCATGTGTTGTTTTCCTTTCATGGCCAAGTCTGGCCTCCCCACCGGTGCGTGTGACTGGGATCTCTCCTTGGGCTTCTAATCACATTTGGAGCTCTGACCCAGAGCTCCAGGAGAGAGTCCAACAGGGAGGGCCCTGAGGCTGTGGCACGTCCACATCACTCTGGTGCTCAGTCCCCGCTTTGCACTTCCACTTTCCAGGGCAAAACAGCTGTGTCCCCCTGATTGACCCTTTCGCCAGCGAGGGCCTGGACATCACCCCTTCTGTGCAGCACCTCCTCTGTGAGTCCTGGGGCAACACCATCTCTGTGTCCCTCCTGATTCTTTTTGAGGGAAGTGTTTTGAGACAGTCCAGGCTGGCCTCGAACTTGTGATCCTTCCAAGTGCTGGGATTACAGGCAGCCACTACCATGTTTCTCCACCCCAAGTCCACAGAACTGTTTCCAATGGCCCTTTCCCCCTCAGTTCCCAGAGGACATGTCCAACCATAGCTCCTCTGTGCTCTGCTGTTGATCCCTGACCACTGGTGCTGGAATCCCAGCCTATGTTGCCCTCTTTTTGCCTCAGTGGCCCTTTCAATGGCAAGGACGATTGCTGTTGGGGGAAGTAAGACAGCTCTGTGTATGATGGAGTCATGGGGTCTATGAGCTCCTTCTTTTGGACTCTCCCACTCTCCAGATAGACAGCTGCTCTGCCTGGGGTGAGGATGGGGAAGGCACTGGGGGAGCCTCCCTTCCCCTGGCCTCAGGAAGCCTGTGCCAGGATAAGAGGTGGCCACTGGGAGATCTGATGGTTACCATGGAGTTGGGCATCAGCTCGACCAGCCCCTACCCTGGCCTGAACAGGTGGAGCAGCTCATCTTGCTGTACTCTAGGCAGGCACCCCTCCACCTTCCGGGGTGGCAGGGTCCTGTCCACCTGTCCCTGATGCACCCTCTCCTGCAGCATTGCACCGTGCTGTCATGGTGGTCCTGCCTCTGAGCCTGGTCCTCATCGTGTGTGGCTGGATCTGTGGCCTGCTCAGCTCTCTGGCTCGAAGCATCCCCCTGCTGCTCCTTACTGGTTGCTACTTCTTGCTGGGGGGTGAGTCCAGGGTCCCTGTGTCTGCTCCACCCACTATTCCCCTCTGGGCTGTGCCAAACCTGGAATACCCAGGGTCCTGGAAGGACTTCTGGCCAGGGCCTAGACCTCTGGGAGCACCAGTGTTCAGCTTTTTGACCTGGGAGGCCTGAGGGTCTCCATGGTGGCTCCAGAACCTGCCCTGCTGAACTAGATGGTGCTGGGGCTGTGGTTCCTGACCCCCATCACTCACCTCTCATTGCTGGGATATTCGATGGGAGGAGTGGGTAGCTCTCTAGGAAAGATGAGGCAGGGTGAGGAGGGGGCTTCTGAGTTTGGTTTTGACCCCACCTGGCCGTTAACTAGCTACAATGCAGCTACTGACATGGCACTGGGCATAGGCTGAGTACTCCCCAGAGCTCCTCAGTGCCATGGTAACAGGTGAGAAATCCAAGGCTCTGATTGGTCACAGAATTTGCCAAGGTTAGAAGGAAACTTGTTTGGGGACCCCTTAAGAGCCTTTCAGAGCTGTCTGCCCCAGCCACGCAGTTCCCCTTAGTTACCCTAGGCCAGCTGTCACTAAAGTTTGGCTGGTGCGCCCTGAATTTGGGACAAGGTCTGTGCTGGGTCTGGTGTGTCAGTCCAGCTCTACTGTGGCTGTGGCCACAAGGACCACACTCCTGGGGACTGGGCCCCCTCCTGGGCTGGCCTGTTCCCTCTGCAGGAGATGCTGGACTCTCCAGGAGACCTGTGTCAGGAGCGGTTGGGCCTGTGTGGGAGCCCAGGTTAGGGAATTAGCACCCTTGGTTTTGATCACAGGCCAATGAAACCAACAGGCCAATGAAACCTGGAAGTCCAGATCTCTAGAGAATCAAATCAAGACTAATCAAAATGTCAGCTATGGCCCTGACCCAGAAGACTGTGACTGTCCAAAATCCAATTAAGGGGAACCTTAGGAAGCCACCGAGAGCAGTAATTGGGTTGGGATTGTAACTAGGAAACCTTGTGGTGACATGATGCCCCTGTGTGGCACTTGGAACAAAGGCATCAGCAGGCAGACTGTCTGGAGGCAGCAGCAGGAGGAGGCCCAGTGCCACCCCAGCCTTCCCAGGCAGAGGGGGCTCTGTTCCAAGGGCAGGAAGAGACTCAAGAGGGACTCAAGCTCCCCCTTGCTCAAGGTCCAGCCTCAGTGCATGTCACTCTCAGGAGCTACCATGGGTGGCCCTGGAGGGGCCAGGGTGGTACCAGCTCTGAGCTTGCAGGGCTGAAGTCAGCATGGACAGCCATGCAGATGGCTCTGAGACAGGAACATTGCACTAGAGCACCTTCAAGGCCAGCTCGGCCTATGTCCCCATTAGCCCTGCAAGAAGAAGGAAGGAGATGGACTGGGGTGTCCTTCCCTGAGACAGGATCATGGGGAGTTGAGGAGAAGCAGGGCCTGGAGTTGTCAGCTGAAGTGGCAGGGGCCAGCCAGGGAGCAGTACTGCAAAAGGTCTGAGCCTGGGTCCCTAATGCAGGAAGAGTCAGAGGGGGTTCCTCGCTTGGGAATTTACTCTGTACTCCTGCTCTGGCCAAGGTGGGGACCTGTGGTACAGATGGGCAGAAGCAGCTGGTTTTGGAGAGGGGCTTAGCTGGGGGCAGCTGGTGGGAAGCAGGGCCTTGGCTGTTAGCTCTGATGTTGCAGGAGAGGAGGCTGCCACTGTCTCAGCTCCTGGGGAGGCCTGAGATTGACAGCCACCCCACCGCAAGTACTGCCAGACCCTGCTTCACTCAGTTCAGCTTCACATCCTGCCCAGTCTCTGCTGGCAGCTGAGAATCTTATCCCCTCACTCAAAGGACCAGAGTGCATGAAAGTCAGGCAGTGTAAGACCCCAGAGCTATGCCTTTCTCTGGGCACTAGTAAGACCCAGACCTGGCCCTAAAAGTCAGCTCCTATCAGGCACCTGTCCAAGAGGGGCCTGCAGGGCCTCGGGACCCCACCGTCCTGGTCAGCACTGCCTATGATGGACACTAATGTCAGACTTTGACACCAGCTTGCAGCTGTGGGTCAAGGGGTGGCTCTCTGAACTGGCCAACCTGAGCACATGAATGGGCCAGGAAATGCTTTGGGGCCTTTGGGCTTGGGACCACTGCCCAGATCTCTGCTGGCACCTAAACCACAGTCAGTCTTCCTTCCTTTGAAGACAGCTCAAAGGAGTTGAAGGAGGAGGAGAGGAGGGCAAGGCCATGGTCAGGGAGTAGAGAGCCGGTAGCTCAAAGCTGGGAGGCTGTGGAAGAAGGAGAGGGTAGTTAATCCAGGAGAGGAGAAAGGTGTGAGGGAGAAGGCTAGGGTGTAGGATGCAGGCTCAGGAGATCTGGAGAGGCCTGGCTGGAGGGCACTGGCTGGGGGAGGAGGGAGTGTAGGCTGCATGTCCCTCAGGAGGTACCTGGGTGCTGGTGAAGGGGGCAGGTATGTACATGGGGACTGGCGGGGGGGAAGCGCAGGAGTTGCTATTTGCAGTGGGGTTTGGGGGATGCAGTCTTGGGTCAGATACCCCAAACCTCAGTGTTCACCCCCATTAGCACCTACCTCCCTCTCTCCCCTTGGACAAAGTAGTATCTGGGAGGGCCAGGCTGAGGGTCAGTTAGTGAGGGTCAGGACAGGGGCCAGGGTAGCGATCTGTCCACAGGGGCTGAGTCCCTGAGGCTGTGTCTGCAGGACCTGGGCCAGTGGCAGGTGACACACTGAGCGGCATTCTGTCCTTCTCTCCACAGGCGCCCTGACCCTGGTGGGGGTCAGCGTCTATATCAGCTATTCTCACCTGGCCTTCACGGAGACAGCCCGCCAGTACGGCCTGCAGCATGTACAGGGAGTGCGCATCAGCTTCGGCTGGTCACTGGCCCTGGCCTGGGGCTCCTGTGCCTCGGAGGTGCTCAGCGGTGTCCTCCTGCTCACTGCTGCCCGAGCCCTCAGCCTGAGCCGGCGCCCAGGGCACCCCCATTCTGTGGTCATCTAAGTCCTGAGGGCAGCAGGGAGGGGGTGGCGGGAAAAAGGCTTGGTTCTCCTTGGCGTATCCTAAACTCCCATTCTATGGCCTCTGGAGTCCTGGCTGGGAAAGAGCCCTCGGGGTGGCAGATTTAGGGAAGCACCCTTGCCCACTTAAGCACCTCTTAGAAAAGAGTTGGACAGAGGAGGCTGAGGTCACACAGGTTCTTGGTGGCAAAGTAGGGTAGAAGCACCTCAGGTTCCTGGGTGCTCGGGGTGCTCTTGCCTCTTGAGGGGTGTGGCTTGCACTCCTGCTTCCCCCATCAATCCTCATCTGCCCTCATCCCTGGGGGGCTGGGACAGTCCTGAGGAGGGGGGCTGGAGAAAGAAAAGGTGTCTGATAAATACACCATGCTAGTCACCATCCTAAGCTGCTCCCCAGCCCCCTATGCAGTGGTTACCTCTCACCCACGTTACAGAGGGGAGACTGAGGCCTGGATTACCCAGGAATGGATGGCACAGACAGATGCCCTCACAAGCCATCAGGGCCTCAGACTCCTCTGTCCCCTGTCTCTGGGGGGCGAGGGTGGTGGGGAGGAGGCAGTGGGCAGGCAGGGATGGGGGCACGTTGTTTGTAGGCATAGCAGAAGGCTAGCAGGCTGGATGCACCTTGCCTCTCCCTTGTTTTCTTGCAAAGGAGTTACTTTCTCTGAGTGCTTCCAGGCAGAGGGGACACTTGGGCCTCTGTCCTTGACCTGGTGCGAGCTACTGCTCCTGCTGGCCTCTGCCCCTTTGCAGCAACCTGGGAATACCATGAATGCCAGGGATACCATGAACTGGCAGGTGTGGAGTCCCAGAAGGTGTGTGTGCGCCACACCTGGCCCATCCCGTGGATAGCCTGGGTGAAGGAACTTCTCAGTCAGAGGGGTTGGGGTTGACCAGTGGACAGAGGATGGGCTGGAATTTTGGCTTCTAACTTGCAGAAGCCCTGCTAGGGGGACTCAGCATGTAGGCCAGGCCCCAGGACAGTGCAGAAGAATAGGTTCAGCAGCCCACACCCAAGTCACTTGGGGCCACACGGGCCCGTTTACAAAGGTAGACAGCTGGGCAGCTGTAGGTGAAGGCGTCCCAGGGACTGGGCAGCTGCTGGAAACCCAATAGCCCCATTCCAGATGTGGGGCTCCTCCCGAGTTTGGGGATGTGTGCTAGAGAAGGTTGCAACTCTCCAGGTATGGTCCCCAGCCCTCAGGCACCCTTTATTGTTTCCTGGGAACACAGGAGTCTGGCACGGTTTTGGCAGAACCCACTGAGGACAAAGCTGGGGATCTGGGTGGGGGCATCCCATCCTACACTGTTTTAACATTGTCAGTCCATGTAGGACCACTATTCTTGAATAAATCAGTCGTGCTGTGTGCAATATAAGCCCTTTATTTTCCTCTTAGATTTTCTTTGGGGGAGTGTGAACAAGGTCTAACTACTTAGCCCAGCTGCTACTGAGCCTCCTGCCTCAGCCTCCTGAGTGCTGGGATTATAGGCGTGTACCACCTCACTCAGCCTAGAATTTTACAAAATACATGTCCATGTCTCAAACAGGCCAACTGTGAACACAGTTATCAGTACATGTGTCTGTCCATCCAGTGGTGCTGTGTTTGAATGTGTGTGACCATTCATCCAGGATGTCCCATGTGTGCATATGTGTGTGACCACCCATCAGAAGTCCTATGTGTGCATGTATGATTGTCCATCAGAGTTGCCTATGTATGTGTGACCATCCATCCACAGATGTCCTGTTGCCTATGTGTGTGTCCATACTTCAGAGATGCCGTTTGTGCATGTATGTCCATCCTTCAGAGATGCTGTGTGCATGTGTGTCCATCCTTCAGAGATGCCATGTGTGCGTGTGTGGCTGTCCTTCAGAGATGTTCCTCACATGCACATTTGCGGTGTCCTCTGCAGACATGAGCCTGCTTCTTCCCAGGTCAGTCAGGCTGGGAGGCACCCTGGGCCTGCAACTGGATCTGAGCTGGCTGGTGGGCAGCCCTCTTAGCTTGGGAGGAAGGTCTCGGGCCTCTCCCTCTGTCCTCTCAGCCCAGGAGTCTCACTTTCTGGGAAGCTGGGCTGAGTTTACCCCAGGGTCCTCTGATAGCAGATGGATTTGGGCTGTGAGGGTGAGACACTGGGAAGACCCACATGGGTGGCTGCTGGGCCTTCTTAATTGCCTAGGGGTGTGTGTGTGTGCATGCTTGTGCACACAGGAACCATGGGAACTGGCTGTGCAGCTGAGTCCCTTACTCTCTGACAGCCCAGGCCCCAGTGGTTGGCCCAGGGGTCTCATCTCATTTCACTGTTTGCTGGGTGGCCTGGCTGTGTGACCCAGATTAAAAGGTATACAATTGCCACCCAGGAAAGAGAGTGAGTGGTTCAAGGTGATGAGAACAGGACAACAGGCTCAACCACGCCATGTGACTTAAGTAAGAGGAGAGAGAGGGAAGGAGAGAGAGTGCACACCACAGCCAGCCCCTCGTGGTGGTTGGTCCCACAGGCAAGGGCTCCATCCCTCCACTCAAGTGGGTTTTTGTTCCTGCAGCCAAATGTGGGCTCTGTGGAGGAAGCCCACCTCCTACACACACACACACACACACACACACACACACACACACCCTACACACATGGTGCCAGCAAAACCCTGTCACCAGGAGCATCCAGCTAGCTCCCAAAATTTCCTCCCAATGCATTTGTCTGCACAGGTCTGTGTCTGCCTCTGGTCACTGTCCTCTGAGGCCACTGGTGCCCCCATCAGGGCCTGAATGGTGAGGCCGGGAGCTTCTCCTGGCGCAAACTCCACTGCAGCCAACAATCACAGAAGCAGGGACAGCCCAGTGATCCTGGTGTTCTGTTACTCACCCACTGTGTCACCCTCTGCCACACATAGCCAGAGCTGACTTCACGTAGGTCACATAGGAAGTGACAGCACATTCCAACTCCTGCCTCGTTGCTGGTCCTAGGGGAAGCCAGCCATCACGTGAAACCTGAGAAATGGCTTCCCCACACAAGACAGGTACTGAGGCCTCTGCCAACAGCCAGCACCAGCATGCCAGCTGCGTGGTCAAGCCAGCGAGACGCAGAGCAGTCAGACAGTGCCATCTAGCTGACTTCTGGCCTGCAGCTTCAGGAGAAAGGCGAGACAGAACCACTCGGCTACTCCCATCCTAACCACAGACACGGAGAGATCATGATGACCTGTTTAAGGTGCTACTGTGTTGGGGGGAGTTTGTTACACAGCAGTGTTACACAGCACGATGCACATTGCGGGTGCTTGTCCCAGACAGAGCAGCACAGGAGACATGGGAGCACAGACTTAGAGGGCTCGCTTTGATTCTGAGTTACTACCTCCTCAAGCACAGGAAGACAGCTCTGGGGTTCTGGACACTGGACGTCCAGAACATAGATCTGGATTCTTCTAAGGAGTGGAGAGAAAGAGGGAGGCTCCTCTACCACAGGCCCCTGCTCTTCTCCCATTGACAGATTTGCTGCAGTCCAAGGCTCCCATCCGCCAGGCTGCTGTCTCCCGGGTCTGTGCCTCTGGCCACCCTGAGCACCATGCTTGTATCTCTGGCAGCTTCCTAGCCACCTCCATGTAGAGTTCTAACTTGGTGCTCTTAAGCTAACACCACTGCTTTACCCATCTTCTCTTGGGCTCCTGTTAAGGGCTTTCTAAACACTGATGTGACACTTATTGCTGCAGTCTGGGTATTATGTGCTCCCCGAAAGCCCCTGTGGTAAGTGCTTCCACCATGATGTGCTGCCTCACCACAGCCCCAGAAACAATGGGGCTAACCAATAATGGACCAAACTAACCCTTTTTTTAAGTTGGTTATCTTAGTGAGGAAGGCAGACTAAGACACTTACCTAACACACAGACACGTATACTTATGTATCCAGAATGAAAAACACACAAATATTAATGGTGATTATTCTTGGGTGAAACATACAGTTTTAATTCTATTCTTTTCATATTATCAAAAGCTATCCGTACTTCCTCTCTGGTCCTTGATCCATGCACTGCGGTTTATCAATCTGATTACTTTTTTCACAGCGCCACCTTTGGGTCTGTTCATCTACAGGCATTTTCCCCTGACCCGTCTTCCTCTTCACTAATTGTCTCTTCAGCTGTGTCTCACGTGCTATCAAATTACCCACTGAGTTCTTAATTTATTAGGTTTTTAAGACTCTCCATGTGGTATTCTTATCACTTCAAGTTCTCTGTCAATTTGTTTGAATCCTGTCTTCTAAGTCCTTAAATATTTTATTGTAAGTCTCTGACTGATAACTCTGTTATCTTGATCACCTACAGGTCTGTTTCTTTTTTTTTTAATCTCAGAGGCAATTTTTAATAAAAAGTTGGTAATCATACACATAAATTATACTAGTATGAACTTAAAATTCATCACATTTTTCATTTTTTAGCTTGACCTTCTAGTAAATCTTTAGCTTCATTGATTTTGGCTGCTATATAAGGAGATCCTCCTTTGTCTGGATGACTTAAGAGCATAATTCATTGATGAGCATCTCTTATTTTTCCTTTATTGGCAGTAGGGCTTATACCTAGTATTAATGCCACTTCTTGTTTTGTCATTTTGGGTTCAAACCCACCTCTGTAATAGCCACCACTGAAGGCAGAGTTTGGTAGACTTTGAAAAACTTGTTTTACTTGAGGCTCCATATGCTTCATGGCTTGTAAGACATATCGGCCTGCAAATCCTGCAGCAGCAACGCTCAGTCCAACTGCAACCACTGTGCTGGCCATGGCTCATGCTCGGCTCTCCTGTCCCCACCGGGAGCGGGGTTCATCCCAGCCCAGACACCATGGCTACCAACTATACACCTTTACCGGAAAATGACGCAGCCACAGCCAGGGAGCACAAGCACCCAAACACCAGGTCTGTTTCTTTTGTCCATTTTTTTTCTTTTGGTTTTGGGTCATATCTTGTCCCATCCCATGCCTGCTCACTTCTGATTGCACAGGGACATCACACATAGCAACTGGAAGCTGGATGGTGCCATCTTCCCCCAGAAAGCACTGGCCTTTCTTCTGGCAGGCCACTAATACTCCACTCCAATCACAGCCTGTCCTCAGGACCCCAACTGCTTCAGCACGAACTCCCACTTCCTCAGTGCCAGTTCAGTGTCCCATGAGGAGATGTCACGGTGCCACACAGCACGCACAGACTGTTCTGTCCAGGGGAAGAGCAGCACGCTCACAGCCTGGCCGGTCTGGGCCACCTCCTCAGTGCTCACAGCCTGCAGGCGTCGGCACAGTTCTGCAGGTGGCAGCCCGTCCACTCTCACCAGCACCATGTTGGTTTCCACGGCAGCAGGATCCACAGAGCAAATGGGTGATGACAGTTCCTGGAGCCCTGAGGCACACCCCACAATGAGTAGAGCCCAGCCCCAGGGCCCCACTACAGCCCCCACCACCCAGAATTGTCCCCTGGGGAAGGCAGAGGGGAAGCCCAACTGTCATGGAGAAAAGAAGGACCCTAAGTCCTGATGTGTCATTTGGGGTCACACAGACATGATGTTGCTACTTTTGCTGTGTGACCTTAAAGAAATCAATTGACCTCTCTGAGTCTCAGTTTCTTCATCTGTGAAGTGAGGACATCATAGGACTGTCAGGGCTCAACTAAACAGATGAAGACCCAAGCTGGAGGCCACACTGCCAGGTTCTGCAGAGACCGAGGTTCTGCTGAGCACTTCCTGGTGTTAGGTACCATGTGCAGCACTGCCTGGTAAGGCAAGTAGACCTGGGCCCACCCTCAACATCCTGGAGACTTGAAAAAGGCAGACCTGCTGGGGGTCTGGGCCCCGCTGCATGCCCCCCATCCCGCTCAGCTGCCCCCAGTCCCAGCTGAAAGGAGCAGGCACCTTGGGCAAACCTCTGGGCATTGCTGTGATCCCTCAGCAGCACCTCCTCTGCATCGGCCAGTCCCACCAGGGCGGCTGCGGCCAGCACCCCAGCCTGACGCATACCTCCGCCCAGGACTTTCCGGAGGCGCCAGGCTTCTTCAATGAAGTCCTTGGTCCCCCCAATTAGGGCCCCCACCGGTGCACCCAGGCCCTGGGGAAAGAGAGGAGAGACTCCTGGTGGCTGTTCATGTGCAACTGTCCTTGGGCTGGGGAGGGGCAGATGCTACAGCCTCTGGAGCCCAGGGCCAGCTGCCGGGACAGGAGCTCAGGGACCCACTTCTGCAAGGCCAGCCAGAGGCTTCCCCACCTTAGAAAAACAGAAGGATACAGAGTCGCAGTGCTCCACGATGCGTGCAGGGGACACACGTAGAGTTACCGCTGCATTCATCAGCCGGGCCCCATCCAGGTGGACCCGGACCCCATGAGCCTGGGCCAGGAAGTGCACCTGGGGAGGAAGGGCAGGTGCAGGTTAGAGGGGCCAAGCTGGAGGGAGGACAGGTCTCCCCATAAGGAATCATGAGGGGTCTGGAGTCAGGAGTCTGGTTTGGTGACCGGCTCTGGATATTTGGGACCTGAGCTGTCACACTGTGCTGCTTGAGCCTTGATCTGTATTCAGTGGCCAATAAGTATTTTAACTCTGAAGTGTGTTTCTGGGATGGAACCCATGACCGTGTTCATGCTAGCAAGTGCTCTACCTCTGAGCTATGCTTTTTTTTTTTTTGGTGGGATTGAGATTGAGGTTTGAACTCAGAACTTTGGGCTTACAAATCAGGTGCTCAATTGCTTAAGCCACACCTCCACGTCCTTTTGCTCTGGTTATTTTGGAGATGGAGTCTCTCAAACTATTTTCCCAGGCTGGCTTTGAACTGATTCTCCTGACCTTAGCCTCCCAAGTAGCTAGGATTACAGGCTTGAACCACCGGTTCCTGGTCCATTGCTGTCTTTTTTTTTTTTTTTTCAGTACTGGGGCTTGAACTCAGGGCCTTCACCTTGAGCCACTCCGCCAGCTCTATTTTTGTGATGGGTTTTTTCGAGATAGGGTCTTCTCAGAGCTATTTGCCCGGGCTGGCTTGGAACTTCGATCCTCCTGATCTCTGCCTCCTGAGTCGCCAGAATTACAGGTGTGAGCCACGAGCACCCAGCAGCCTTAATTCTTTGTTGAGCACTCAAGGGTCTAACGAGGGATAAATGTCATGTCCTTTGAGCGTCACAGCAGCACCATTAGGGGACACTCTGTTCTGGAGGGGGAGAACGAGGTTTGGGAGTTGTGGAGTATGCATGAGCTCTCACGCTGGTGAGCAGAACACAGCATGGCAGCCTCCTCACCTCGCACGTGGATAGTAAGGAGTGGGGGAGCTGGAGATGTGCCGTGCACTCAACACAAGTGTGCTCCCCAGCCTCATCCAGGTCTCACTTCCAGGCTGGAGCAGCAGGCCCTGGTGCTGCTCTGGGACTGGGCTCTCAGCAGGGTGTGGTGAGGGCATGTGGTGTCTGTTTCTGGGTGAGTCCAGGGACTGGGGCCCCCATCTTCAGACTTGGGCCATCATGTCCTTCCGTGACAGTCTGGCCACTGAGGGGTGCCACGGCATGTGTCAGAGGATAGGGGATGCAATGGGGGACACAGGAATCCAGGAGTAGGCTGGTGTGGGAGCACAGTGGTGGGGCTGGGCCTACCTGTTGGAGGTAGTCAACAGGGAGGACCCGGCCTCCTGAGCTGCTGTGCGTGTTCTCCAGGCACACGAGCTCGCAGACTGGGTAGTAGGGGCTCCCAAGGCTCCGGGTGATTACCCTCTCCAGCTCATCCAGGTCCAAGGTGCCATGGGGCAGGTCTGGGAGGGGTTGGGAGTGCACACCAGCGATCTGCAGGTGGAGGAAGACACAGGATCAGATAAGTCCGGGGGTCCAGCAGCACCTACTGGCCAAAGGGAGGGTTCCTCTGGGGGAGAAGCCAAAGCCCTGATCCTGACCCTGCCCTGTTCCAGCTCTGGGCCTCAGGACCCTTCCTCATCCTGTGTGTCTGAACCCAGATGGGGAGAGTACAGGTCGCCTTGCTAGTGCTCTGTTGAGATGTTGCCAGCTGGCTCCCTCTGGATGTCAGTGATCCGAGTGCCCACTAGGGGGCAGCAGGCACCAAGGCAGATGGTCAGATGGTCAGAGGCCTTTGCTGCCCCCATGTGGCAAATCTGGAACCCGGTTCTCCCTCCCACCTCCCCTGCCAGCTTCTCTGATTCTCCCTGTATCCCCTCTGCAAGTTCTAGACCCGTGCAAAGAAAGCAGATCCCACCTGAGCACCCTGGCAGGCTGGAGGATGCCCAGAGGCCCAGAGGAGCAGTGCCAGGTCCTTACCTGAGCCACCCCGCCCTGCTCATAGACGTGGAGATGGCACTCCTGCCCAAGAAGGAGCTGGGAGCCCCGGCGCCGGCAGTGACCCATCACTGAGACAGACGGGGAGGGGGACAGGACTTGGCACTGAGTCTGGGAGGCCCATCTGCCCCTGCTCAGCTTGGACAAGCTGAATCCTAGGGCTACAGTGAGCTCACCAGTGCCCATGCCAACTAGGAAACACTAGGTACCATCAAGGCATCTTACTGCCACGTGCTGAAAACTGTCACACTAAACACACAGCCATGGGATTGCTGTGCTGTGAATGCTGAACCACACACTGCCTGCAACATACCCCATAGCGCCTCAGATTGTCTCCTGCGGGGACAAGTGTCATGATGCTGTCCTTAGGGACATGCAGCCTGGGGTGCCAGAAGCTGTCTGGCCCTGCTGGGAAACCAAGGGCACAGGCACACTGGGGAACTGGAGGGGTGTTTAGTAAAGGATGGCTTACAGGAGGAGGCAGGTGGACAGAAATCTCAGGATGGCCTAAAGGGATGAGGCACCTGTGGTTAACGGGAACCCAGAGCCAGGGAGGAGGAGCTGTGGAGGGGCAGACACTTGTCAACCTCACGCGCCTTGGCCCCAGTCTGTCAGGGTGCCCAACAGAGGGGAGGGATGGAGTGTGCCCTGAGGCCCTGGGGGGCAAACTCACCAGCGATGAGGTTGGCCATGGTGTTGGTGGGCACAAAGAGAGTCTGCTCCACCCCGAGCAGCAATGCAACCTTCTCCTGCAACTCTGAGGAGGAGGGGTGGGTGGGGCAGGAAAGGCTGGATCAACAGCTGCACTCAGAGCCAAGCCACTGTGTCTTGTAAGGCACAAAGTGCATTTGTTCAAGTAACAGCCCCTTGCCCGGGGCTGTGGGGAGTGGTCCAGCAGGTGGGGCTGGAGCCTGTCTGCCAGCTGCACAATCTTTGGTCTTGGTGGCCACATTTCCAGGTCCAGTGGTCCCTCAGTCAACCCTGTACCCCAACTTCTGGGCCATGCCCCCCCTTACCAAAACTCTCTTGTGGTTTGAATCTGCTGTCCCACCCACATCTCACACCTGTTTTACTTCCTTTCCCATCAGCCACATCAGGTGAGTTCCTGTGGTTTCTCTGCCAACTTCCTCTCCCCCTTAGAAGGGGACCTGGAGGGAGCAGAAGGGGGCTGGAGGGTGAGTGGGACTCCTGCTTTTTCAAAGCACACAATGACTCCCTTCTGTCTGTGGCATCAAGCTCAAAGTCCTTGACCTGACATTCAAGGCCAGCATGACCAAGGCACCTGCCTGCACCCTACAATCCCCACCCGTATCCTGCACATTTCTTTCGGAGTGGCTTATGCTTCTGGAGCTGCCACTGCCTGGTGAGTCAGCACTCCCTTCCCTAGCTGGGGAGCTGCCACTCATCCTTTAGGGAGTCCCCTAAAGGTCCTCTTCCCCTGGGTCTCAAAGCACACTTCACAGACTCCTGTAAGTGCAAGCCCTGAGACGACCTGTTACACGGGTGTCTGCAGACCAGTGGCTTAGCCATCTGTGAAGTTCACAGCAACAGCGGGTGCATGATCGGTCCCAATCACCCCTGGGCCCATGGACAGGTCCTGGGGCTCAAGTGGTGACCCCATGGTTTCTCCCTGACCCAGTGGTTCACTATAGCAGCAACTCTCAACCCTGGGTGGACTGTGCGTTACTTTTTCTTTAAAACACCTTTAGGTTACCAGAACCCACCCGTGGGGGAATGTAGCCCAGGAAGAACCTCCTTTTCTAAATTGTAGATTGGCTTTCTTTGTCTTCATGGGGGCAGGCAGTGGGTGCACTACAAGTTTCAGAATCAGAAGACCTGGGTTCACCCCAGTTCTGCCATTTACTAGATACGGGGCCTTTTTTTTTTTTTTTGGCTGTACTGAGGTTTGAATTTAGGGCTTCTGATTGTGAGGCAGGTGCTCTACCACTTCAGCCATGCCTCCAGGCCTAAGTATGGGACGTTGAAGGCCTTTGTGGGCATCTGGGAGCCCTTCCCTGCAAGATTGGATCACATCCATCTGGGGCAGCAGAGTAACAATGCAACGTGCACACAAATCACCCTGTTAAAATGTAGGTTCCGGCTCAGCAGCTTGGATAATCTGCATTTCCAATGGGTTTCCGGGTGATGGCCAGATTGGGCAACAAACAGATCGCAACGTCTGACACGAGGCAGATAATCCCTGAACACCTGCTGGGTCACCTGCTGGGTCACCACCCTGAGTACCGACCTCCCTTCTCGCCAGCACCATGGACAGCACCCCGGGGTCGCCTCGAAGACCCCGGCCCCGGGCTTGCGCGCGAGGCTCACCGCGGACGGTGGGGTCCTCGCCGTAGTCATCATCCCCTACGACCGCCTCGGCCATGGCGCGCCTCATAGCCGGCCCGGGCCTGGTCACCGTGTCGCTGCGCAGGTCCACCACATGGGTCGGGACCCCCGCCCAGCTCCCAGACCACCGTACCCAGGACGCCCGGAGAACAGGGGCCGCGACCCGTGTCAGTGAGCGGAGCATGCTGGAGGCAGCGCCCGCCTCTCCGCCCCAGCAGGAGCGGCGAACCCCTGTCCTCCCAGCGAAAATGGCTCAGAGAAGCGGGGTCGGCGCGGCCAGACTTCTCTGACCACAGTTACTGCGGACCTGGGCCGAGATGGCCCCGGGGCACACTGGGAGTTGTAGTCCGCGTCACGTCGCTGGAGCATAAGCAAGCCCGGTCGGGCCCTGTAGCATGCTGGGAGTTGTAGTCAAACTGTGTCGCGGTTGATATCTAGTGTAACTGGGGATGCTGGAGCAGATGGGTTTGCTTACTTAAGGGGAAGCTGAGACCTAGTAAACTTTTATTGTGGGAAACAACTATTACTGTCCTTGCATTACAGAAGAGGAAAAGGAGACTCTGGAAGCTAATGAATGTGGCTAAGGTCACTTGGGCAAGAATTGGTCCAGTCTAGCGGTCAGCTTGTCTCGAGTCCAGCTCTGAACCATGGTGTTACGCTGCCCCTAAAAAGAAGCTTTCCATCATTTATTTACTTTTTTCAATATGGCTTAACTGAGCACCTACTGTTGACAGGTACTGTCTACAAGGAGGTGTAGGACACAAGGCTGAGTGCAATTGTGCCCAAAGCATACAGTATCACTCGACATAATAGAAGACAGAGTCAAAGAGGTGACTAAAGAGCCTCCTCCTTCCTAGGCTGTGACCATGAAGGGCAGGTACCTCCATGGAGGTAGTGGTGAAGGGTTCGGCTGGTGCCCCACTGTGTTTCAAGTTCAGATCTATCACTTAAGGCAGGGAGTGCAGCTCAGTGGTAAAGCTCTTGCCTCGCATGTGTGAGACCCTGGGTTTGATACCCAGCACCCCAAAAAACAAACATCAAAAAAAAACCCAAAAACTCTGCCACACTGTGTGGCCTTCGACCAGTCATGCCTCAGTTTCCTCACCTGAAAATCCAGCCATGATGAGGATGAGAGACTTCATGTATTTAGTGCTGACCCCAGTACTTGGCTTGTGGGAAGATGTAGGAATATCCATCCTAGTGTCATTGTTGATGTTGCTCTAGGACCTGGGGCTTGGTGTGTGCGTACACAATAACTCACTGAGTCCTTGGGGTGACCTTCCCTCACACAAGGAGGACAGGGACACAGCATTTCTCCTTCCTAGAGCATGGGCCCCAGGTGTTGCCTGTCTGCCATGGGAGAAAGTTGGGAGGGGGGCAAGCAGAGCAGAAACTTCAGCATCTGGCGAGGTCACTCCTTAGGGAAGAGGATACGCATCCCATGGCCCCCAACAGATGCTGACTGCCCTGTCCTCTTGGTCCTGCCAGGTCCCAGGGGTAGAAGAGTGAGGGAAGGTGAGGCTATGGCTGCCTGGTCTTGGGCACAGGGCAGGCTTCCTGGAGGGAGGCTGAGCGAGCTTGGAAGGCAGCACAAGGCACTGACCAGGCAAAGGCAGGAGGGAGAGTGCTTCTGGCAGGGAGCAGCATGGGCGCCAGCTTGGCTAGGTCAGTGCTGGCAAGGCTGAGGCCCTGAAGGAAGTCCAGTGTAGTTGGGGAAGTGAGCAGGGGCAGCAATGGAGCCCAGTCACCTCCAGGGTCAGGGCCAACTTTCAGGGGCTCTTCCTGTCCCCTCTCCCGCCTGGAAGGGCCATCCTGAGGTTGAACATCACAAGTCCCTGCAGGTCTGTGGCCCAAGGACCCCATCTGATGGAAAGGCCAACTGTCCTCCCCACAGCTGGGCCCCTCTGGCCCTGACCCACAAGCTCCACCAAATTCCCGAATTCCCAGCCCTTGAAAACAGGCCCTTTATCTCATTGTCTGGCTCCAGCCCTTCTGCTGGGAAGTAGGGGGTGGGGAACCGAGGCCTCCGTGGGAAGGAAGGGAGGTGGATGGGCTGGGAACTCTCAGGGGAGCGGGGAGAGAGGGGACAAAAGAGTGTGTCCCTGGCACCTCCCAGCCATGGTAGAACCACAGCATGGCCTCCTGGTTGTTGGTCCTTCAAGTTGAGTTGGGGTCAGGGCAAGGAGGCTAGGGTAAGTAATCCCAGGCCTGAGAACCCTACCAGGACACACAGCTGGTCACCAGTGGGGCCTTTGTTCCTCTAAAGCAAGCCTGTTTCCCCAGAGAGATGGTTTGTTCCTGGGGGTAGTGGCAACAGTGTCCATGCCGGGGGTCCCCCAAGCACCCGTGCTGGCATTGGGGTAGGGACCAAGAAGAAGACTGTCTTGGAAGAAGGTGGGGCTGGAGGTGTGGCTCGAGGGGTAGAATGCACACGTATGTATTATAATTTGGGCTGGTGTTTATGTGCATACTTTTTTGTTTTTTGCGGTACTGGGGTTTGCACTGAGGGCCTACACCTTGAGCCACTCCACTAGCCCTTTTTTGTGATGATTTTTTTTCAAGATAGGGTCTTGCAAACTCTTTGCCTGGGCTGGCTTCAAACCATGATTTTCCTGATCTCTGCCTCCTGAGTAGCTGGGATTACAGGCATGAGCCACCAGCACCCTGCTTTATGTGCATACTGTGCACATGTTTATGTGTGTCCTGGCTGTGATAAGATCTGAGTCATCCTAGTGGCAGCTGGGGACAGGCCACAGGTTCTGGGCTGGGGTGAGAACCCATCCATGGAGCCAGCTGTACTTACCATCTAACCTTGCCCTGGTCTCTGAGCTGACCCGTCCCTCTGCTCTCTAACTCTGGCCTGTCTGTAATTCTCAGCAGGAGAGTTCCTACTGCAGAGGTCATGGGGTTGCCTCCTGCTCCCCACCCTCAGCAACTCAACTGTCTCCTTCTCTCATCACAGTCAGTGCTCTGGCCAGGTCCTCTGGAATCCTGCCTGGCCTGGTGGGTTCCTGGCCTCCGAGGCTGGTCCTGCAGCACTACTGCTCAGGACTACTGACCGCTCTGGCCTCTGGAAGCTCCCAGCTTCTTGATGTAGATTCTGCCCTGCTCCTTGAGCCCAGCCCTCCCACCTCCTCACTGCACAGCAGATGATGGTGACAGTTCTGTCCCCCAAATGTGCTATTTCACTTTCAACTGCAGGTCTCTGCAACTGCCTTACCTCTGCCTAGAAGGCCATCAGCATCTGTCCCTGGTCACTCCCTTCTCAGTTTTCAGGTGTTGGCAGAGATGCCTATTCCTCCAGGAAGCCCCCCAGCCTGGCCCACCAAGGGATGGAGGTAGCCCTCATTCTGGACCCATAGCACCTTTTCTTCCCACTGTCCATGGCCATAGCTGCAGGTTTCTCCTGACTTTTCTATGTGGCCAGTGGTCTTAGCATGCAGGAACCTGGGGACTGTGACCCTTTTACACATCCTGCACGCGTAGCCCAGTGCCTGGCCCCTAGGACAGTAAGTACTGGCTGAATGGCTTTCGAGGGACACAAAGTCCAATATGCCCTGAGCACTGGATCCACCAGCAGCTTTGTGGAGAACAGGTTCAGGTCCTGTATCAGAGGATGTTCTGGGTGTCCTCAGGATCGCCCCTACCCTGCCATCTTCAACTGTTTGCCACTCCAGGGTAGTGGGAGAATGTGTGGGCTGCAGGGGGTGCAGAGGCTCAAGACAGGCAACTGGTTGAGCTGCATCACAAGGCACCCCAGCTCCCTGGCACCCATCCAGGCAGGCGCAGGCTCTGGGTGTGGGCACAGGCACACACACTCACATGTTGAGTTAGTTCAGCGTGCATATTCCTGTAATGCTGGGCTGCTGGCAGGAAGTGAGCCGCGGGGAGGCTGCTGCTGGGAACCGGGGCTGGCCCTGCAGACCTAAAGGGAGGCGGCAGATTGGAGCTGCAGATAGCACAGGTCCTGGTAAACAGGCAGGGGGATGTCCTCCATCTTGTACCCTTGGCTCTGAGCCCTCTATAGGTGCTGGCCTGGCCCCAGACCTGCTAGCCTTGAAGCTGGGGGGACAGCTGTTTACACCATCATTGTCATTTCCAGCCTGTGGCGGGGGTGTAAAAGGGCAGGTACTGGACCTGGGGTCCTGATTGGGCATGGCGGTGAGCATGCATTTGGCCCTTGTGGGGGCCACCCATGGCAAGACCACCTGTGCTGTTGGGAGAGTAGAAATGGGAACAGTATGGGGCTCTTCCAGCCCCTACACCTCCCCTACAGGAAAATTCAGGAAAACTACCTGAATTTTCTGACAGTACAATGGAGGGTCACCTTGAACCATCTCATAAAAAGCAAAGTGGCGGGTCCAAGGCTGAGGGTGGGCAGAGAATGGGGCGAGAGTGGCTGCACCCTAGTCAGGTGCAGAGAGGTTGGGCTGCATAGACTGGTTACAGTAATGGGGGCTGAGAGGCCCCTGCTCTGCTGAGGAATTCACCCTAATGGCTTCAGCTCATGACGCTGAGCCCAGGGGCTGGGCTGGTGAGAGCCAGGCCTGGCTAGATCCCAGTGCTCAGCACAAATACACTGTTTTTCTATTTTAATTATGAAGTCCTTCAGAAAAGTGCATGAAGCCTACAAATAAACACGAACAGCAAATGAATTCCCACGTGGAATTGGCGTGGACCCTTTAAGTCAGGCTTCTTGGGGCTGGCATCATGTTCCCAAGTCACCTGTCTTATGGCTGTCCTTCCTGCTTTGCCACCGTGGCGCACCTTTCCCGCTCTCTGCCTCGGACACATTTGGGTTTGCTGTTTCTGAGCAATGCTGCCGGGTGCATCCTTATTCCTGTTTCCTGGCCACAGGTGCTCCTGATCTGTAAGGTGCACTCCTGGGGGAGAGGGGGTCGTTGAGTCACGGGATACCCTGGGGGGCCGTCTCCCGAAGGGGTGGAATGACTTGCTTTCCCATGTCCCCACTGCTTGTCTGTCCCAGTGGTGCTGGCATCATGAGATTTCTTAGCTGTAGCCATCTCGGCAGGTGGGTGGCATATCGTGGGAAGCACAATGTCTTTCCTAATGTTTGCATCATCCAGACTCCTCTTTGGTCAAGAGCTTGTTTGTGTCTTTTCTTGTTGACAAGTGGGACAGAGATTTGCTTAAAAATGCTACTCCTGGGGGATGAATGTGTTGCAGAAGTCCCCTTTTCTGTATGCTCTTTGCATACCTTTCTGCTGGATTAGAAGTCCTGCATTTCACGTAGTTCAGTTGAGCGTGTTCCCACATTGTGACCGAACGTTCTTGGGAAGGAGTCCTGCTTA